AGGGGGGGAGGGAGGGAGGGGGTGTCTCCTTACCCAGATGAGCAGCTGGGTGAAGACCACGTTGGCCATGGCGCAGGACAGGTGCAGTGCCGTCCGGCCGTCCCCGTCGCCGTAGGTCTCGTTCACCTCCTCCTTGGAGCCGTGGGCCAAGAGCAGCACCACCGTCCGCAGGTCGTCCTCCACCACTGCCCGCAGCAGCTGCTGCCCGAGGGGGACGTCCGAGTGGGGCAGGGGGGCCAGGAAGAGCTTCTGCTCGTACTTGGCCCGGATCCAGCGCTCCTTCTCCTCCCTGCAGAGGGGGGGGGGGAGGGAGGCTTGGGGAGGCGTCCGGAACCCCGCCTGCCGCCCTCCCCCAGAGACCCCCTGCTATCTAGAGTCCCCAGCTGGAAAGGCCGGGACGGAGGAGGAGACGGGCGCCGTGGAAATATCGCGGCCTCCATCTCTCGCACACAAAGGGGGGGGGGATCGATGCTGCCGGCACCCGGCTATCTGCCTCCTATTCTATCCATCTCTATCTGCTCAGCCGCTCTCCACTGAGCATGCTCGGGCTCCCCCGCCCCGTCCCCTGACCCCCAGGCCAGCGCTGATAAGTCCCCGTCAGAAAGGCCTCTTGTCTGGGTGTCCGGATGAGTGAGTGACAGGCCCGGCCAGACAAGGCCGAAGCCCTCCCTTGGGCCGCCCGGCTGGGGGGCCCGCCTTAACCCTTTGCCTTCCCATCCTGGGCAGCTGGCTGATGCCTCACCGTCCCCCCCCCCCCATGCAGAGGGCCGGAGCCGTGTCTGTGTGTGTGTGTGATTCATGGACTCAGAGCAAAGGAATGCCCCTCCCGTCGCATCCCCCACAGGTGGCCAGAAGAAGGGGGCGAGCAGGACAGGGCCCACTGCTGCCACCAGAGGCAGCCCAGGAGGGCAACCCAAGGGGCAGCAAGAGCAGCCCCCTCCCCCCACTCTGACGGCCACCATCTTTGGGAACATCAGCCGAAAACGGCTCTGAACGGCTGGGCTGGACGGACAGCCAGGGGCAGAGCGGGGGGGCTGGAAAGAGGCGGAAGGCCAAGCGGCACGAAGGCCTGGGTGGGGCAGGGAATGGGCCCGTGGGGAGGGGGGGAGGGGACCCTCTCCTACATCCTCCCCTCCTTCGCCCAGGGTTTCCTCCCAGCAGAGCCAGCTCCAGGCTTCCCTGGGCAGCACCCAAGGCCCCTCGTGGGAGGGAGGGGGGTGGGGGCAGGGAAGGGCGGCCGTCCGGCCTACCTGCAGCTCTCCGGGCCCGGCTTGGAGTAGCTCTTGGTGGCGCCTTCCCAGACCGAGTTGGCCAGGGCGTTCCCGATGGCCGTCATGACCGTCACCAGCTCCAGCGGCCAGTCGTCCAGGTCCAGGGAGCGGACGCGCGAGAGGTGCGTGCCCAGGTGGCGGTGGATGCCGGAGCACTCGATGCAAATGAGGGCCCCCAGGTTCAGGCTGGCCCAGTCAGGATCTGGGTGGGGGGGAGAGGGTCAGCCCGGCTGCCAGGACCCCCTCCCCCCCCCCCGTTCAGGTTTCCTTCCCTGCCTCCAGATGCCCCCAAGGGAGCCCCTCCACTGGGGTCTTTCCGGGCCCTCCCCATCCATCCCTAGCCTTGGTCCTCCCAGCTTCACCCTGGGATGTTGCCCAGCTGCCCATGAGTCTGGAGATCCCCCCTCTGTTCCCCCCAACTCCCCAGCCCTGCCACCCGCCCGCCCCGGAGGCCCTCGGCCACCCCACCCCCAGCTACTCACTGGCCGCATCGCAGTCTACGCAGAAGCCGTTGCCCCGGACGGTGCGGATGGACTGGAGGGCGACCGCGTCGCTGTGGCTGCCCAGCCGCGACTGAAAGACAACGGAGGTCAGGCTCTGCCCGGTGGGCTGGGAGGAAGGAGCCCCCCCCACATTGGAGCCCCCGGGGGCAGACCGAGAGGGTGGGGGGGTCCTCTGGTGGATCTGCTGGGCCTGAGAGCCCTGCGGCCGGGATCAAGGGGCAGAGCCAACAGGCCCAAATGGTGAGCTGTGTCCCGACACACACACACACGCGCACACACGCACACACACACGCACACGCACGCACACACACACACCTTGTGCTTGCTGCTCTCGCAGCCCTGCAGGCTGGCCAGGATCTGGCTCTCGATGGCTTGCACCCACAGCTCCCGCTNCCCCACCGCGCCCCGACCCCCGTATCTGTTCCGTGCGGAATCGTGTATTGGATCAATAAATCTATTTTGTATGGACCTGCCACCCCGAGTGATCGACTCCCAGCGCGGTTGTTGTGGGAGAAGAGGGTGGGGTGAGGGAGGTCCGCCTGCCCCCCACCCCCATGCCCGCCCACGGTGGGACCCTTCCTCCGGCTGGGAAAGAGTCAGCGAAGCCCACCGTGCCAGTTTTCTGAAAGCAGAATGGAGAGGGGGCGGGGGAAGGGGGGAAAGGCTGCCCCTCCCCTCCCCACTGGCTAACTATCCAAAGGGCCCCATCGGGGGTCCTCGCAGCAGCCGCTTCTTCCTCCCCCTCCCCACCATAGGCACAAGGGCAGATTTCCCCAGTAGCACTCAGCAGGAGTCTGGAGAGACCCCCCAAAGCAAAGGGAGGGCGGCCATTGGGGGGGCAGCCATTGACCCCCAAGGCTTGAAGGTCTCTGGCTAGGAGTCCAGTAGGGGAGGGCTGTCCCCTGTGCCCCCCCCTCCGTGAAGGATGACAAAAGTGACTGCAGAGGCCTTGGTGGGTTCGAAGCTCTTCCTTTATTCTGCAGCTTCTCTGCTGGGGGGGGGGAGGGAAACATTCTCTCACACTTCCACGCAGAGACACACACACACACACAGAACAGGGCAGCAAACCTTATTTACAGACTGTCATATAAATATTTCCAATGTACACTTTATACACAAGTGACTTGAAACGGAGGGGGGGGGTCGCTGGGGGAGCTCCACCAGCATTGAAACCGCCCCCTCTGAATCCCCCTCCCCGAACCCCCACATCAGGCTGAGGAACTGCAGCAGGTCCTGGGAGAAGCAAGGGGGAGGGGGGACTGACCCCTGGAGTGGGGCTGGGAGGAGGAATGGGGGGAGACAAGGGGTCTCCTCAGCGCCCCCAGTGGAGTCCACTTGCCCTTTCTCTTGGGCCGGGGGGGGGAGAGGACCCCACCCAAGAAACTCTAGTCCCTCTGGGCCCGCAAAGAAAGGTGAGGGGCCTTGGGAGGGGGTGGGGGGGCAGGACTGCTGGGCTCTGCCTGCCGAGAGCCGTGGGTAGGGGGCCTGTGGGTAGGGGGCCTGCCGACCTCTCAGGGACTTGGGCCCCGCACAGGGCAGCCCAGTTCGGAGTGCGGAGTGCCGGAGGCGTTGTTGTTGAGGTTCCGGCGAGGGAGGCTCGGGGTCAGGCTGCCCACGGGGGCTTCGCCGGGGCAGCCGTGCTGCAGCAGCATCTCCACGCACTCCTGGCTGCCGGCACGGCGCGCGTAGCCAAGGGGTGTCAGGCCACGGGCGTCCCGGCTCTTCACGTCCACGCCGTACTGCAGGGATGAGAACGAAGCTCGGAGGAGCCCCTTCCAGTGTGAGTGTGTGTTTGTGGGGGGGGGGGGGGGGGGCGGGCCGGGGGGGCTCTGCCTGCCGGGACCCGGGGGTGGGGGCCCTGTGGGTAGGGGGCCTGTGGGTAGGGGGCCT